TAAAAAAAAAAAAAAAACACATCATAGTAAAATTAATACCTTCTCCGCTTCGCATCGAAGCTAAAATATATGTTGTTATGTATCAAAATATTAATTTTAATTATTAGCTTGTAATTTCTTTAATTTTTCCATTGATTAATTATTTTTTAAATATGAACATAACATTGATAATTTACTTAGGAATTTAGTTATATTCTCGTTATTGAGATCAATAAAGGTGAAATTAATTTACTCCTAAGTTCAAATACAATTAATAGTATTATTAAGGTAATATTGAATTAGGAAATTGAATAAAGCTTTTTTATGGCCAACTATATTATCCTAAATTAACATGAAATAAAAATAATCATTTGTTATATACATTTAAATAAGTTAGTCGTATTTATATTAAATTGTGGTGATATTACTCAAGAATAGAACTTCAACGCTTAGCAACACGAATTTAAATTGCCATTTATCAATATATATACTTCAGTCGATGTTATTTTGTACAAAAAAAATTTTGAAGATTACATAAGAATATAATATCTATGAATTTATTAGAAAATTATTGCTAAAATAATCTCATACAAGTGTATTTGGCAAAAACAAATTAGTAATGTTGCCTATTTCATTTTGTAGAAAACCATATTAACAAATAATTTCAAATAAATATAGCTTTTTATATTGTAATAAAAATTCATATTTTTTTCAAGGGAAACACAAACATATTTTAATGTAATAATCAAATTTTTGCCAATTTTATCTTCAAAGTAGTTTTTTTTTAATAGGTGACAATAATTCAAAAAGCTTGTATGCTCCCCTGGATCTACCAATGATTGTAATAGATATTGACAATATTTTTAAAGATTTAATTTTATAATTAAACATCGGAATTTTAATGTATTATTTTTTAACAACAACAAAAACAAGAAATATTGGCCAAAGTCAAATTACTTTGTTTATTATGTAAATGTTAAATACTCTACAGAGTATATGAAGTGTTACATTACAGACTGTAATTGGCGCAACAACCAAATAAGTCCATTGTTTTGGAGATGTAATTTTATGAAAAAATTTTTATTAAAAGTAATAGTAATATATTTTTTCTTAATTACATATTTAATTTAGAATTTGAAATTTGTAAAATTAATAAAAATTTATTGTTATACATATACAAAAAATTTTGTAAGTCAGGAAACAGATTAATTTTTTTAACATCGATGCAAAACTGAACTTATGTTTCTAGAATGTATTTTTTATGTGTCTGTTACCACTTATTCTTAGCTCTCACTGGATCGATTTTGATCCAGATTGATGAACAATACGCCAAAAGATTACAAATTTTATCTAAACAAAGACATTACCCACAAAAATTGAAAAATTGCCTACTTAACCGGAAATGGGGAAATCCACCAAAAAAATTACAAATTTAAAAATTGGTAACTTTTAACATTTTTTTTTCTTAAAACTGTCATAACTTTTTGAAAATAGTTTTTTTTTTTATAGAAACAAACATTTTTTTATACACTAATTGTTTACCTATCATATACCTAACTTTTTCAACATAACTTTTGAAAATGTTTTGTAAATACTGAAACTTTTATATATATCTTAAATTAAAGCTTATGTCATATACTTAAGTATAAAAACGAAATTCGAACTTTAGATTTTCTTCATACTGGAGAAAATCACCAAAATATGTTATTTTGGTGTTATAATTCTCGGTTTTGTTTTTTATTTTATTCTAAAATATTTTGCAAAAGGAGTATACTGATTTTCATAGATATTATATAAAACTAATAGAAGTAGAATAAAAGGTTTAACTTATTTATATTTTTTGCTACTTGTAAATCAGGAAAAATAACATAGATATTTTGAACTAACTTAAATTGCCAATTTTATCTATCGACTACAAATGCAATTTACGGTTATCATGTTAAAAACTCTTCAGTCTTTAACGCTTGGTATACGAGTTTCGAACTCGTTTGCATCTTTTTCTTAATTCTTTTTAATTTAGAAAACATGTTCAACTCATTTGACTTTAATCTCATTTTGATTTAATAACTTCAATGAATATCAAGGACTCCATCACTGTAGACTTCCCTCGTGAGAAGAAACTTCTTAATTCATATTAAAATTATTTTATTATATGCGGTTTTTTTTTTTGTGGCTGTCATTTATTTTTTCATCACTCACTTGATCAATTTTTTTAACGGTACATCAAATAATTAAACTAGTACCATCTAGTTAGATATTACCATCAAAAATTGAAAAAAAAATCTGCTTTATCAAATAAAAAGTTACTTAGCCCTCATTCTTCATTTAGACAATTAAAATCATTAATTTCTATTTTTTTTTAAAGTATTTATTGTCGAATTAAGTTTTATATAATAATTGGTTTTAGCTACAAATATAAATAATTTTACTTTGTAATTTATTAATTTTTTGTGTGTGCTACAACCCGTCTATAATATTTCAAATTTTTTGGTAACATGTTGCTATTTAAATAATTTCTAAAAAAAAAATGATTTTTAATTTCACCTGAATTTTAAAAAAAATGTCTACAATTATAATGAAATTCTTGTTTTGCTCAATTGAATAGATTTTTTTAATAATTTTTTGATTGGTTTTTTTATTTAAAGTAAATCATTAAAATTTATTAAGTTTTGAATATTTCAACTGTAGAATCTTTTTAAACACCAAAAGTGACTACGAAATGATTACTATTATTAGAATTTAAGTTATCTGTTACAATAAAAATGCAAAAAAATTTTGAGCTATTCTGATAAATTAATTGTAAATATTAATTATACAGTTTCCTGACTGCATATTAATCTTAACAATACCATTTCTTTAATTCTCATAAAATTTTCTATTTAATGATATCAATTAAAACTTGCAAGTTGACCTAAAAGTCATGGTAACAAATTCAACTTTTTTAAATTATAAACTTTCTCAATAATCAACTATGAAGGACCAAAAAAGTAGATTCAAGTGATATTTTACACTGATTATTTTTAATATATGATTAAAAATCAAAATCAGTAATAATTAAGAAATACATTTTTTTTCTTTATTTAAATACTCATTTTTTAATAATTAGTAATAATATCAAGAATTAGAAGTGATAGAAAAAGTCTAATCGCAGATTTGACAACTGTGCGAAAGGTTGATATAAAAAAGTATATTTTTGATTCATAAGTAACCAATATTTTTTTTATATTGTATTGCACTAAGCCCTTTAATTTTTACACATGTTTGTCATAGAAGTATAAAATATACTTGTTTACATTTTTTATTATTTCTCTGTAAAATAAAATATTAAATTATTAAATATTAACTTCATACTATATTTAATTACTACAAGAAATATTATTCATAAATTAAATTATTATAACTACTAATCAGTATGTAAAAATTTGATGTTTGTTTTGTAATTATGAACAAATTTCTTAAAATTAAACACTATACAGATTTGTATCGAAGCTTTTCTTATGATAGTAATTTTAATCACTGTCATCTATACTTGTTCCAACTATCCCACGTCTATACTGTCCCGCGACCACACTGTGCTACCGTTTTTTTTGGATCATGTATTTATAACTTAGAAATCTTCGGGCATATATATATAATTAATATTACTAATTATATTTTAAATTTTATAACACCAAAATTTACAAATATACATTATATTTCTTCATCTAGCATGGTCTCTCTGATGCGTCGCAGTAATGTTATGACTGTCTTTGAGTTCGATACTAATGACTCGTAGAAATCCTATATTTGAGACCTTGGTTAACGTACTTGATATATTCAGTTAAAGTATTTTTTACTGTCATATTATTTTTCTTTTAGCTAGGTCATTTAAACAGGTTAATTGTTACAAACAATGAGAACAACAGAAACCTGTTTCCTTACTTACTGAACATTCTATACATCTCCATTGATAATAAGAATATAGATCTTATTTTTGTACTTAAGTATACAAAAAAATAATATATATGCAAAATTAACAAAAAATTATTTTCTGAAAAAGTTGTATTTATCTGGTTATTGTCCAGTTCTTCAATTATTTTGTTTTATCTATTACAATTATTGAAAGAATTAAGTGTTAAACAATTTTTTCATAATTTATTTCAAAAGTAATATTCCTATTATATATCATTCAAATTTGATGTATGGCGTGATTGAACACAATGAATTTACATATATCTCATATAGTGATGATTTATATACCAATTAGTNATTTTTGTACTTAAGTATACAAAAAAATAATATATATGCAAAATTAACAAAAAATTATTTTCTGAAAAAGTTGTATTTATCTGGTTATTGTCCAGTTCTTCAATTATTTTGTTTTATCTATTACAATTATTGAAAGAATTAAGTGTTAAACAATTTTTTCATAATTTATTTCAAAAGTAATATTCCTATTATATATCATTCAAATTTGATGTATGGCGTGATTGAACACAATGAATTTACATATATCTCATATAGTGATGATTTATATACCAATTAGTGTATAAATATATAGAATTTTAACGAATAAAATCTTTTTTGATTTTATGAATGTTTCATTAGTTATACATTAGTTTTTTTTAATATATTGACATACCATTTATTTTTATATAGATAATACAATTTGAAGAATATTTTTACAAGTATAAAAGTATAGCAGTAATAATAATTGTGTTTATAATAATCTAAAATGTGTCGATTTTTTCCATTTTTCTTATTTCTGAAATTAATGGTATTTAATTTAGTAAAAATGTCACTGTAGAAGTTGAATGTATAAAAAAACTGTTTTTTTTTTTTATTGAAACACACATTTTCACTTATTTTTTTATTATTATTGTATATCACTAGTTTTACTTTAATAAGAATGCACCTGTATTATTCTTTACAATACCTATTTACTTTTTATTTATAGAAAACTGCTCATATAAAGTTAGGAGCACAGAAAATCATACTCACATAAAAGTTTTGTATTAATCGATTTATAACATTTTTTTATTTTTAATTTGTAAGTTAAATTTTTTATTTTATCAAGTACATATATTATTTTTTTATTGTAGTAAATATTATAAATTTTGCATTTATTTTATGTCATTTTCTTGTTGATTTCAGAAAAGAAACTGATAAAATTGAGAGAGATTTTCCAGATTTTCAGTTTAAAATTTAAGCTAATAGTGATAAATTACCGATGTCGATTTACGATATCGAAGTACAAATTCATAGTAATACAACCAACGTCATAGAAAATAACAAAGAAGAGAAGACATTTAAAAATGCTTTGCCTCAAGTAATTCAAATATTTAAAAATGTATACACTAAGAAAAAGTATAGAAAGGCTAATAAAACGGATTTAACAAATTTCTCTTGAAATAATAGCTAAAAATATTCATTTTTTGATGTTTTTCAATGAAATATTTTACTATTCATATTTTTACCCATCATTATTTCAATTGTAGCACGCACATTTCTTGAGATATTAATAAATTCAAATATTAGTTTAAGTAAAATAGTATAAGGAAATATGAAAGGACTTGGATTTTTTTTCTACTCAAGTACATGATTATATCATATTATTTATTGACAATTAAATTGGGGAGGGGGGGTGGTGTTAGGTGGATCGTTCAATTGTAGAACGTTTCTTTTTTCAATATATAGTATATGAAGATCTAACGTGCTATAAATATAGTAATTATCATAAAGTCACATAATATTAATAATGAAAAAATGTATTATATTTAAAATGTACATATTTTAAAACAGTATGTGCGCATTCTGTTTTAACTTGGTGCTGCTAAAATTTTTGTCGATCGTCATAAATAAGATTTTTGTTTAGTCTATCGCAAAATTAACAAAAAAAAAAAAGAAAGTGTTAATTTGTGGTTAAAATTTATGTAGAACCCTTATGATATTATTATCTATAAAAATGATAATTTTTATCGAATTTTTAAAATTTTCATTGTGTTACTCAATATGATATAATAATATATCAATGTAGGCCGTTTTACTAGAAAGAATATGTGACTATGGCAATATTATCTCGGTGTTAAAAGTATAATTTTTGTTATAAATTAATATTTTATATTAATATAAGATTGTAATTTCATTGGTAATAAAACAAATAATACATATTACATATCATAAGCATATGTCATAGGCAGCAAAAGCTTGTGTCGATCCATAACATGGTATAATAAAAGTTTTGTCTTAGGTATATACATATAGAAAATGATCACTATCCCTTCTAAATGAAACAAAGTTTTAACTTCTCCATGTAATACTATATGATTAATTTACAAAAGTTAATATTCATCTGAGATGAAAATTCTTAGTAGATCAGTGTAACTAGTAAAAAACAACGACATATAAAAGGATTGCATTTTTTTAAGGTGCAGTATAATAATTCATGGGGAATATTTGTTTAAATTATGTCTTCACTACTAATAATAGTGAAATTTGTATTTAAATAATTACAAAATAAAACAAAAGGATTATTATTTGTGTGTTAAAATATTTTAATAATTACACACAATTACAAACATAAACTAGTATTAATACCTTAAAAATTAAAGATAAGTACTAAATTTTCAAAATCTTGACCTCTAGATATTTACATTTATACATAATATAATATATTTAAGGTAAGATTTTAATACACAGGATAATATGTTTATCATAAGCCACTCAATTACTGACAAAAAAAAATGCAATAAAAATTATTCTATTATAATAAATCTTCTTCTTTTACCTCACCATTATCCGAACTATTTGAACTCGGTTACCCTAATTCTAAACTTGCACTTGACACGATTTCCCACATCATCTACGCATCAGCTGTCCTTATGTCGCATTAAATAACATTTCTCCATCTTTTTTTTGATCTTCCTCTACCTCTTCTCCTTCAACATTCATTTCTATCACTGTTCTTACAGCATCTGATTCCTCTCTCCTCATAACATAAACAAACCATCTAAGTCTATTTGATCTCATCTTATCTACGATTGACGTTACACCTATACTTTATCTTAATTATAATAAATAATTAGTAATAACAATAAATTGATATGCCTCAAATTAATTGGCCCCATCAAGAGTAATCTATTCTGGTCTATTTAACACTAATCCGATTAATAGAATTATATTTAAATGTAAATTTAAAAGTTCAAACATTTTTCCCTCGTTCCCCCTAAACGTTGGTGAAAATCCCCCAAAAAATTATGACTTTTAAAATCGGTACATTTCGTCATTTTTTAAACTTTTTTTTCTTAAAACTACCATAACTTATTGAAAAATTAACAAATCAAAATATTTTTTGTCTCTTAACCATATGTTAAATTAAAGCTTACATTTTGTACTATAAGATAAAAAAAAAATTGTCCTGACGAACTATCTTCTATGTGCAAATATTTATCAAAATTGAACAAAAAATGTAATTTTCGTGTAAAAATCAATGTTATTTTGGTACTTAAAACTTTCATTACTTATTGAATAATAAACGAACTAAAATCATTTTTTTTTATATTGAAACTTTAATTATTTCTCTTTTATTTGTTAAAGTTCATTAAAAATTTGACCCTTTACCTGCCCACAGAGAGGGATTCGAAATAGCAACTTTTTACAAAACTCAACATTTTCAACTTAAGTTTTAAAAATGTTCCTGAAACACTGCAATCTTAAAACATATGTCAAATTAAAGTTATCGACGACCTATCTTCTTTATGCAAGTTAAAAAACATGCTATTTTTGTGTTAAAATTTTTTTTTTATTTTAAAATACCTTATAAGGGTTTACCATAGTAATGAGTCCACAAATAAATATAAAATTTACATTAAATAATTTATATTAAATATAAATTTATACTTACTTTATTATTTGGCGTTGTCAAAGTTATTTTCAACTTAACTTTTGAAAATTTGGGTCTTTTAAATATTAAAATCAAGCTTATTTTATGTACTAGAAGTTCAAAAAANTTGAAAACTTGAAAATTTGTATAAAAAGTAGAATATTTTCAACTTAACTTTTGAAAATTTGGGTCTTTTAAATATTAAAATCAAGCTTATTTTATGTACTAGAAGTTCAAAAAAAAAAACTTGTACCGACAACCTATTTTCTAAGTGCAATTGGGAGTCAAAGTAGAATAAAAAATAGGAGTTAATTTTGCTTTTGGAATAATCTACCAAATTCTTAAAATTAAATACTATCTACAGATTTGCATCGAAGCGTTTCTTATGAAAATGATTTTAATCACTGTCAAATATCATCTATACTTGTCCCAACTATGCCACAACTCCATTGTGCTATCGTTTTTTAATATTCAACTGGAGTAAGGTAAATTCTAATTTTAATCTTAAAATTTGAATCTTATTATATAATAGAACAAGGAAAAAAACGCTTTTCTGGGAAAATTACTTAGCGTGCTCGGATTTTCAAAATTTTTTTTTTCGACGAAAGTACTCGGTCACCAGACTCCGGGAAAATTATTGGCGAAGGTCGGAAAATTTTTGCCGCTCGCCCGCGAGCGTTTTAAAATTTCGACCGTTTTCGAGAAAAACGCTCGCTGACGCCAGCGTTTTACGACTTGAGGTTTGAAATTTTCATCAGACCCGCCCAATGACATTCCTGAGATGTGATAAAAAAATCAATTCAATCCGTTCATTTTTCACCGTTTTACGAGCTTTTTTTTTTTCATGCGCCCGAGACGCCAGGGCGCGCCGCCCGAAATTCTTGCGACACTTTACGACATGAAAACGATTTTTTTTACGATTCGCAATCATACCACGGCGTTCTGTACGTGCCAAGGAAGCGCCAAAAATCGGAAAATCCCAGATCCGACAAAAACTCTGGCCGCTACGAGCGTTTGAAATTCATCAAATTTTAACGGAAAATGACGATTTTTCTGTTTGCTAATAATACACATGTACGCGTCCTATTATATCTTATTATATAATAGAACAAGGAAAAAAACGCTTTTCTGGGAAAATTACTTAGCGTGCTCGGATTTTCAAAATTTTTTTTTTCAACGAAAGTACTCGGTCACCAGACTCCGGGAAAATTATTGGCGAAGGTCGGAAAATTTTTGCCGCTCGCCCGCGAGCGTTTTAAAATTTCGACCGTTTTCGAGAAAAACGCTCGCTGACGCCAGCGTTTTACTACTTGAGGTTTGAAATTTTTATCAGACCCGTCCAATGACATTCCTGAGATGTGATAAAAAAATCAATTCAATCCGTTCATTTTTCACCGTTTTACGAGCTTTTTTTTTTTCATGCGCTCGAAACGCCAGGGCGCGCCGCCCGAAATTCTTGCGACACTTTACGACATGAAAACGATTTTTTTTACGATTTGCAATCATACCACGGCGTTCTGTACATGTCGAGGAAGCGCCAAAAATCGGAAAATCCCAGATCCGACAAAAACTCTGGCCGCTACGAGCGTTTGAAATTCATCAAATTTTAACGGAAAATGACGATTTTTCTGTTTGCTAATAATACACATGTACGCGTCCTATTATATCTTATTATATAATAGAACAAGGAAAAAAACGCTTTTCTGAGAATTGAAATTTTCATCAGACCCGCCCAATGACATTCCTGAGATATAATAAAAAAATCAATTCAATCCGTTCATTTTTCACCGTTTTACGAGCTTTTTTTTTTTTTTTTTAAGTCCACGCGCATTGTTTTATTATGCGCAGTGATTCATTTTTGCTGATACGTTTATTATGAACCTTAATTATATGGTGTATTATGTATTATTATTAGGACACTATTTTGCATTCGCCCTATTTTAATCAAGGAATGTTATATGTTATATATAAATTTCAAGACGTTATAATTATTTAAGTTTGTACATTCATTACATATTGGGGCGGAGCCCCATAGCTAAATAATTAAGTATGGTGGTGTTATATTAATTTCCAGATTCATCGTTACTTTTTTTTTGCCAGATTCTATTGGGGGGCATAATGATACTTTTGCCCCCTTCGTATTTTGACCAAGGGGCCAACTGTCCCGCCGATTCCGGCGCCACTGTATATGACATATATACAGATACAACATATACAAAGATATGTGTCCAAATATGCTGCAGACCGTATTTGAGGTGGATTTAAAGGGGCCCGGAATCTCCTCTTCACTGAAATGTTTTCAAAATATACATATACTGTCAACTCGCGATATTACAAATAAAACAGCAGGTCCCTTGAAAATCTGGCGTTATAACGAAAATTTAAATAGATATTGATACCCTTCACATATAAAGTGTTCTGTAAGTAAGGAAACGAGTTTATATTGTTCTCATTATTTATAACAACTGACATAATTCCTTATTTACTTTACATTTTATATATTAAAAATCAATAATTAATGTGTTTTTAATTATTGTTAGATTAGTTTAATAGTAAATAAATTAATATGAAACAAAATTATAGAGATACCGTAAAATTATCTTATACTATGTATTCAGATTTACTTAAGTAATGCCTTAACATAATTTAAGATGGCTTGTCAACTTAACGTATATATATTAGCTTGTAAAAGATTTTATAAGCAATAATATTTTGATAAATTGCTTTTATAATTCATAGTATGGTGATAAATTTTTAACAGTCATTTGAATTACGGTAAACATCCCATTGACGAGGAACACTAAGCATGGTTCATGACGACCCACTTTGATTATACTCAATTGTCTCAATAAAACTACTCGTATGAGTCGTTATAATAATAAATTAATCAGTAATAACTTTGTCAGCATTAAAAGTGATCTATTGGATTTGATGCTCTCTCAGATTTTGATTGAATATTAATTATATTTTGTAATTATTTTAATACTAAGAGAAAAACAAACAAAAATCATGTGTTTTTATGAAGAGTAACTAAAAAATATAACTAAATTATATCTTAATTATATCAATTTTGTTTGGTATTGTATTTAATAAATTTTGATAGATATTGTACTAAACAAAGTCAATGACAAAATTAATGAGTCTCCAATCTACTGCAGAAGTCATGTAAAACATTTTAATATCAGGAAGTAACTCAAATTATGTTTCTAGGTCAGTGAATTCAGAATTTTCTGTAACTAATTATACTTTTTGTCACGTAAATAAAGTAAATAAATATTTTTTTTTTAATCAAGAAATAAAAGCAATATTAATGTTATTTTCAAATATAAATATGGTTTTAAGAATTTCTTTAAAAAAATTTCTGAGTAATTAATAAAAAAAAAAAAACCATATGAACTATAAAATCGTTAAATTTATACTAGTTTAATAAGTTAGCATAAAATATTTTGATAATATTTGATAGCATATTAAGGAGACCTTAAATGAATTTTAGAACTATTTCTTGAGTAAAGATGTAATTGGTATGTGAAAACTATGACAACCTAATTAAAAAATATAACTCTACCACAATATTTGAATAATATTTTCTTATACAAATGAAAATATATTCATTAATTATTTATACTTATATGGATGAAATATAGTTCTTGACTCAACATTATAATGATAAATTTTTATATGGGTAATAACCCAGTGGGATTGTTATAAAAAATTATATAATTTTATCTAATTAACAAATAAATAAAATTCGATTACTTATGAAATTTGTAAAAGAGTAAATTCTCTATACTTAATTAAAACTAGAGATATCATAAAACCGTTTATGAATACAATGAAAATTTTATAAAAGTAAATTTAACGAAAATTACAAATAAATATACAATAATAAAAATAATTAACAAAAAAAAAACATAATATTAGCAAAATTAAATGTTTAAAATTTACTTTATTATATATTATTACACCAGTATACTCTCTAAATGATAAATCTAAAAAATATATATTAATAGTCGTTAACAATTAATTACTTCATATTTACTACCTAACAGTAAAAGTAATTACTATAATAGAAATAAAAATACGTACTAAAACATAAACAAATACTTTAAATAAATACTATTGAATGTATATAATTTATTACCAATAATCATTACTTGTTTGTGAAGCTTAATATTAATTATTCAAAAACTGAAAATAATGAGAGTCCACATTCCATTACATAATAGTTCTTTTAAGTACTGTTTTTTTGTGGAGCTGTCCAAAATAATTTATTCTACTTTTACATAAATTGAATAGGTTTAAATGAAGTAATATAAATAAATTAAAAAAAAAATTTTGTTTATCAATTAAAATTAAAGTAGAATCAAAGCCAAGTCATATTTTTAAAGAAGGTATATTTATTATAAATAAATATTCATTTGACTTTTTAAAATCCAATTTGATTAACTATAAATTAAAATAACACTTGTTTATGGTCTATCAAATATTTTAATGACCATACTTTTTTATATTATTTAAAAAACTGTTTAATACATTATATTATTTAATTTAGGTTTTGGCCACATCAGCAAAAAACTTTTTACTTCTTACTTATGGAATGACATTAGGACTACCTACCATAGCGATTCCCGCATTGTATTCCGACAAAGGATTAAATACCATTAGTGAGAAATTTAGTGATACTCTACAGCTGTCTCGAGAGCAAATATCATGGTTTAGTTAGTATACAGAGTGTTTAGTATGTAAAGAAATAGGTCAGTTGTTACAAACAACGAGAACAATAGAACCCGTTTCCTTACTTACTGAACACCCTACATAAAGGATAAAGTGAAATGATTTTGAGCTAAAATATATTTTTATTTGATTTAGGCAGCATAAATCTAATATGTGTACCACTTGGTTGTTTGATGTCAGGAACTTTAACGCAACCATTTGGACGAAAACGAAGCATGGTCATGCTCAACTTACCATTTATTGTAGCGTGGCTATTATTTCATAATGCTTCCACTGTTTTGGAATTGTACTTAGCTTTAGGTTTATGTGGTCTGTGCGGTGGATTATTGGAAGCTCCAGTAAGTACGTTATGTTTAAATTTGTTCATTTAGGTGATGGATAGAAATAATGGATGGAAATAAAAACGAACCCCAACTATGTTGAAGTAGAAGTTCAATTTTTCTTTCGATATATAAATTTCTATTTTTATTAAAACTAGTTTTACTATTGGTATATTTAAATATATATATATATACATATACTTATATAAATATATAAGTATATGTATTTGAATGAGAGTATAATTTTTGTCAATGAAGGATATTAAAATAATATTATGAAAGTAAATATTATTTTTCAAATCAAATTCTCTAATGTTCAAATATTTGTGGAATTATTAACTGAAGATTCCATTGTATCCAACAAACGCTTACAGTACTTTGCCCAGATTTTTATTTTACATTATACAAATTTTTATTACCTCATTTGGAACAAATGCATTTTACCACCCCATCGAGTTTTTTCATTTTTTTTTTTTNAAAAAAATTTCTACATGTAATTATTTTTCCATGTGAGGCTTTTGACCTCTTAAGATATATAATTTTTCGTGAGCATTTAAATAAACAGAGTTGGACATGCATCTTATTAACGATTTAATTTATAATTCAAATTTATAACAAATTTTTAGTACATATTTCAATATGTTATTACCCCAACAAATTAATAAATGTTTATTGAAATCTTCTGTGGAAAATTTAATAATCAATAATGAACTATTTTACTAACTTAATATAAATATTACTAAATCAATGGCGTTCTTAGTGTAAGTTTCATCTTGAGAGTGATATATGCTATACCCTTCCGGTGGGAACACCTATATACTACACTATTATTTATTATTCCAATTATATATTAATACTTAACATATTATTATAATTATATATGTAAAAATATATAAATAAAATAAAATAAAGATTTATAAAAAATATAATTGAATAATATATATTATAAAAATTTAAAGGTACTAACATATGTCGCTGAAATAACTCAACCACATCTTAGAGGAGTACTTTCAGCATCATCATCCACAACAGTCATACTTGGAATTATGTCTCAATTCATTTTGGGTAATTTTTTCAATTGGAGAGAAGTAGCTTTAATTGACACTTTTGTACCTATAGGAGCTTTAATATCACTGTTATTCATACCAGAAAGTCCACATTGGCTCATAAGTAAATCAATAGTTCTATAATAATTATATAAATGTCCAGTGGCGTATTTGGTCATTTTTTTATATTGATTTTATATATAATTATTACGAGGCAAATCTAAAGTTCATAATACATAATAGGCAATGTAATTAAATACAACAATTACATGATAGTGTACAGTGTATACTATTCATTATCAAGTGAAATTAATGCACAAAATAATATTTTTTTAATGAGAAGTGTGTGTCAGCATTACAGAAATAACGGAAAAGCTCAAGAGTTGAGATGTTAAGCAGTGAGGAATAACAAAAGGAGCAAGAGATGGAGTAATCCTTATTAGTGCTTATTAACTGGGAAAGGAGGTCAGGAGAATCTATACTACTTTGTAGAATGTCGGCAAGGAAATTAAGGTAGTTAAAATGTCCACACTCAGATAGGTTTGTGTTATTAGTGTTAAAAGAAGAGGAGAATATTTCTACATCATATGGTATAATTGATATTAGAACGGCAGAATGGTTGAGGTTTTACTTTTCAAAATTTAATTTAAATGTTTTAATTTTTTAAGGTAGAGGTAGAATTGCAGATGCTGAAAAATCATTGTGTTGGCTTCGTGGTTGGGTAAAACCAGATAAAGTGCAATTAGAGTTATCTGCTATAAAAAAATCTATAGCATCCAATTTAGAACAAATCAAAATGAAAAAAAACAAAACTTTTTATTCATTTTATGTAAAAAGGACATTTTTACTACCGTACTTTATAATCACAGCAGCATTCTTTTTTGGACACTTCGGAGGAATGACTACTTTGCAGACTAATGCTGTAAGTATAATTTAATTTATGTTTCATTAGATTAAATTAAAAAAAAAACTATGGAAAGAAAGTGTATTGCAAATAATTATTTTTTAAACTATTACAATAATTAAAATTATGGTATAAATGTTCTGTAGGTACATTACAATACTGGAGTTTTTAAATTAAAATTACAATTATAAGACTATTTGTAATATTTGTCAGCAACTCTTAAAATTATGAAAATCTGTAACAATATAAACATTGCAAATAAATGTATCATTACTGCTAATACCCTTTTTAAAAATAACCAAAAGTAAAATATTTTAAGGAAAAATTTATCTTAATGGAACAAAAAATATTTTTTGTCAAATTAGAAGAATACTTATTCAATAAATAATTACAATTGTAACAATTTATGTTAATATGCTAAATTATTTTAGGTTAATATTTTTGAATCATTAGGTTCTCCAATAAGTGGATATGCTTCAACATTAATTCTTGGAATGGCACAACTTATGGGGGCACTTTTATGTGTTACATTAATACACTGGACAGGTAAACGTCCATTAGCAATGGTTTCCACACTTGGGACGTCTTTTTGTTTTTTTATTGTATCAGGCTATGCGTATACTAGACAGTACAATATTGAAGCTACTAACAATACAACTTGGATACCAATCGTATTTTTAAATATGGCATCATTTTTTTCTCATATTTCGATCAGGTTACTTCCATGGATGCTCATTGGAGAAGTAAGCAAATTAATTTTTACTATTATTTAATACACTTTAAAAATTTATCATTTTTAGGTTTATCCACCGAATATTCGTGGACAAGCTAGTGGTGCAAGTGGTTCAAGTTCCTATATATTTGCATTTATTGCAAACAAATCTTTTTTTGTCGTTTTAGACCACATTCAATTGTTTGGAACGTTTCTAATGTATGCTATAGTCAGTATAATAGGATGCATAGTGTTGTACAAATTGATGCCTGAAACTGAAGGAATATCATTAGAAGATATACAAAACCATTTCGCTAATAAATCAAAGACATTTGTTACAAAAATTTCAAGAAATGAAAAAAAAGAAATGATTGAGAAATGGGCAGCTGATAATCCTGTCTATAAAATTGATCAAACTGAATCTCATTTTTAATAAAAAATAATAATCAACCTACTTGACAATGAAAATAAAGATTTTTCTTTTAACTTTTTAAAAATAGTCAATATATTTTAATAAATTAAAAACAAAAAGTAGTTTTTTTTTTGTATAGCTTAGTGGCTTAGATAGGGGACTTTTTAAAAATATACTTGGACTTTGAATTCTACTTTCATTAGCTCGAGCTATTGATGTGCGCTGGTCATGTTTAGAGGGATCAGTGATCACAAAACATGACTTGTGCACTTTAGTTCAATTTTTTTAAAATCATTTTCAACATAAAATTTTGTTTCAATACATAAGTATAAAAAATTACTCAAAAAAACTATTATTTAAATGAAATTATAAGTTAATAAGAGTTCAAAATAATTCAATGCATGTTATAGCTTTATTATTATATAATATATATATATATTATTTAGTATTATTATTATTATTATTTATAATTATTTATTTATTTATTATTGACGTTAATCTATCATTCACTGAATGAACAAGGCGATTGATAGTGTTCGTATAAGTAAATAATCAATATTATTTGAGTTTCCTGCAACTAATCTAGTGTAATTTATAAGGTAGAAAATTATAAGGAATATTATGGATGTTGAACACCTACTTTAAAAAAATTGTAAGACTCATAGTAAAATAAATAAGAAGTAGGGAAATGTGTACACTTTTTAGAAAATGCATTAACATACGACAATTTTTAAATATTAGCTTTGATGCGAAGCTGAGAAGGTATTAATTTTACTAAGATGTGTTTATTTTTTTTTTGTCTGTTACCACTTTTTCTCAGTTCTCACCGAACGAATTTCTTTCAACGATTAGTCAAAAGATCACAAATCGTATCTAGTCAAGACATTACCCTTAAAAATTGAAAAAATTTCACTCGTTCCCCATAAATGGGGGAAACCTCCAAAAAAATTACAAATTTAAAAATCGCTAATTTTCGAAAATTTTTCAATTTTTTTACTTAAAATTGCCATAACTTTCTTAAAAAAGACCAAATCAATATGATTTGTTTTTATAGATGCTTGATGTAATATATTTTTATATAAAAAAAAAATTTCGAATTTTAGATTGTTGTCAAGATGAAAATGTATTGTCTAGGTTTTGTATTTTATTTTATTTTATTTTAAAATACCTTACGAGGGGAGTTGATTTTATATAAATTTAATTGACATAGCATAGAATGTTAAATTTATTAAAAAGTTTTTATTTCTTTTAAGTCGAGAAAAATAGCTTTGAAATTTGAACTAACTTAAATTGCTATTTTATTCAGTTGACGTATACGACGTACGGTTGTTACGTCCGTAACACTTTTGTCTAACACGCTATGAATACGAGGCTCACCTGTGTCTATGAATTTTTTGCATTTTTTTCTTAATCCTTTTCAAATTAGAAAAAAATATTCAACTCATTTGATTTTTATCTTATTTAGATTAAATAAAGATCAAGGATCCATCACTGTAGTCTTCCCTCGCGAGAAGAAATTTCTTCTAGCGAGGGGCGACTACAGTGATGGGATCCTTGATCTTTCTTGAAGTTATTGAATCTTTATGAAATAAAAATCAAAGGAGTTTAAAATTTATCCTTACTTAAAAAGAATTAAGAAAAAAATGCAATAAATTCCTTGCTATACGCGGGTTGGAACCTTGTACCCCAAACGCTAAAGATAAAAATTTTACCGACTCGGCAATCGTACGTCGTTTATGTCGAGTGAAAAAAACCGAGCCCCCTGTGATTTTTCCGGAACACTTTCAAAAGTTAAATTGAAAAAGTTAATTTTTTGTGAAAAAGTTGTCATTTTAAGAAAGTTATGGCAGTTTTAAGTAAAAAAATTGAAAAAATTTCGAAAATTAGCGATTTTAAAATTTTTTATTTTTTTGGAGGATTCCCTCATTTACGGGGAACGAGTGAAATTTTTGAGGGTAATGTCTTCGATTAGATACGATTTGTGATTTTTTGACGTATCGTTGGAATAAATCCGTTCGGTGAGAGCTGAGAAAAAGTGGTAACAGACACAAAAAAAAA